GTGCCCATGTTACGTTCGCTGATACACTCAAAGCACGCTATGATCTCTGAGGGCAGTGCTTCGGCGCTCAAGAACCTACTCAACTTCCGGCCAGCAGTGCAGAGTCAGAATCCATTGGATCCAANCCCAGAGAGGGTGATCAACTCCACCAACATAACACATTGAGTGTAGCTATGCAAACGCAGCGACAACGCTACACCGGCGTAGCTGGTGGAACTGTACCTCCAGGTGCTTCAGTGCGACTCACACGCTCCGCTATGCTGACCAAGAGCGAAAGTCGCGACTCCGTCTTTTCCGCAAAATCAGATACGGCCTACGAGAATTTGATGCGTTCCCAATCGGCTTCGGACGCCAATCGCAAAAAGTTGCCATATGCGGCAGCAGCTGCTGCAGCCGCTTACTCACTAGAAAACGATGTGGAAGCTACTGACGTGGAGCAGCCAATCGATTACTCAGCCAAATACTGTGAAAAAGATGCCAAAATTCCCGACGAAGGCGCAACTAAAGTACAAGCAACGACCAACAGCAACGCCAGCGTCACATATCAGGAAACTGATTTGGATCAGCCAACTGACTTCAGTTTGCGCTATGCTGAGCATCAACTTGAATCGGATTTACATGTGTTGTCAACTGAGCGAAGAGCTCTTAGTAAGGTTGCCATCGCAATGGACACTACCGCCGGCACGCTGCAATCATCTGGAGTGCCAAATGTGCACCAAGCTGAAGGTAGTGATGGCAATGAAATACTACTGATACTTGAAGATACTGTGAAATGCTATCAAACTGAAGATACACCATACGTTATATCCAATGCCGCGTCCGTCTCGGACTTGCGACAAGCCGTCGTCAAATCGGAAGCTGTTCCACCAGCAGAGTCTGCAAAAACTACACATAAACCTAAAAAATGCCACCGAGTACAGCAAATTCCCAGCAATGGAGGCGTTCATGGAGGCGCCGCGTACGGCTCGGGATCCTACACACCTGAAAAGCCAATCAATTACTGCGAAGAGGGTACACCCGGTTATTTCAGCCGCTACGAATCGCTGAGCAGTTTAGATGAGTCGCCGCCGACGCAGCAGTCGCACAATAAAGATGCCAAGGCGGGTGCAACGAAAGCAACCACTATAAGCCCAACAAAGGTTAGCGACGAGCCTGCAGAAACCCGACCAACGGACATGCCTTTACCGCAGGTTGGTCTCTCCGCTACGCAAACCAGCGGCAATGCGACCACAATGAATTCCGCACAAGAAACACCGCTAATGTTTTCGCGTCACAGCTCAATGGATTCGCTGGTTGAGGAAGGCGAAGAGGAGATAGGCGCTTGCGATGACAAGAGCTCTGTCGTTAGTGATTTCAGCCGATTAGCCAGTGGCGTTATTTCACCTTCGGAAATACCCGACTCGCCTACACAGAGTATGCCGCACTCGCCGCGGCGCCACAGCAACGCCGGCCAAGTAAGCAGCAGCGGCGGTAGTGTAATTGGCGCCTTTCAGTCAGGCGTCTCGCCGCTTGCACCCACGCGCGGATGTGNGCCGCGGCGCCACAGCAACGCCGGCCAAGTAAGCAGCAGCGGCGGTAGTGGAATTGGCGCCTTTCAGTCAGGCGTCTCGCCGCTTGCACCCACGCGCGGATGTTCAGTCGGGATAGCTGCAAGCAGCGCTGGTCATGCGCTACGTGGTAGCGTTGCCATCGGTGAGGAAAGTAAACGCCCGTTGCGAAGCGTCTTTGAAGATGATATAAGCACGTTCCACGTCGAAAATACTCCAGCACAATTTTCATGCCGCACGAGCCTAAGCAATCTGAGCATAATAGATGATGAAAACAGCTTACCGCCATCTAGACAACCGGTTGAGGGCGAAAATACTATGCAACCAGCAACTGTGTCAGAAGGTTTGTTTGAACTTTATTCATATAATTCGCAAATTTGTTTAACTCAAGCGTTAGTGAAACTAACCCAAACTCAAATCAATTTGAACCAAACGGGTAGTAGATTAACCAGAGACAAAAATAATCGTTAAAAATTAAAAATTCTCTCGATATTTGTTTAATTCGATTTGTGTGACTTAAACGGAATTGCTCTTGGTTTAAGGAAATCAGTGATTGCTACATTTCATGTCTTCAATTATTAATTATGTCAAACATTTCTACTCCAGGTGAAGAAGAAGAAGCTGGTAACAACATCGACGATATACTGCTCGCCAATTGCATCAACATGGGGATGAATCGTACAACCATAACAGCTGCAACCTCTAAAAAGTCGGTACGCGCAACCAACAGTCAAACAGCCGCAGACAGTCAATTGACCGTCGAGGAGCCAAAGCATTATTACACTGAGGATACGCCAGCGCTGCTCTCGAAAGTCGGGAGTAATACCAATTTATCAGCGATTTCGATTTGCTCGAGCAATAACATGGAAGAATTAAAGGAGTCACAGCCGCCGCGCTCCGCAACAGGTGATATGTGCCAAAATCGGCACTCGCTTACTCTATCAGATGATGTGTCATCGAATGCCTCGGAAAGTGGTGCAACCGGTCAATCATTCGATTTGTTGCAGCAATGCATAGAAGTAGGCATGAAGAAGCCTAGTACCCAGGCGAAATCGCATGCGAGCGGCGGGGCCATACAACATAAAATGATGAGGCCTTCGCCTGCGGCGGATCCTATAGCTATGATGCGACGCGGCGGTAATGTACTTCCGCCATTTTTACCAGTCTCAGATGAAATGAGTAAATTCCTGGTAGAAGACTCGCCCTGTAATTTTTCTGTGGCTTCGGGATTGTCAAACCTGACCGTGGGTTCCAGTTTGGTGGGGCCGGCAGTTCAACTAAAGGGTAATACGGAAAGGTGAGTTACTAACCCTTTAAAAAATTTTAAACTAGGAAAATGTAATAGTTATATACAGTCATGCGTAAAATATTAAGACCAGAAAAAAATTCTTTGAACAGTGACGGCTATTGCTCATTACCCAACCCAAGATTATGAAAGCGAAAACTTAAAATTAAAAGTGTCATGATAAAAATATTTAAATGTTTTTATCATGCTTCTCTTAACCTGACCTGTCAAATCAGTATTAAATCATGTAACNCTAGGAAAATGTAATAGTTATATACAGTCATGCGTAAAATATTAAGACCACAAAAAAATTCTTTGAACAGTGACTGCTATTGCTCATTACCCAACCCAAGATTATGAAAGCGAAAACTTAAAATTAAAAGTCTCATGATAAAAATATTTAAATGTTTTTATCATGCTTCTCTTAACCTGACCTGTCAAATCAGTATTAAATCATGTAATTCTGCACCTATGTTGCTTTATATTGTTTCCATCCGCTACAAAAGTTTTTGTAAAATTTTTAAAAATTTAGTAAAGACTACTACTATATCCGTTACATGAAACAAATTTTAATTCAAATACTGTCAGAATATGACCTCACAATTCAAAACTAACCATCAGGATTTTGCTTAGTATTAATATTTTACACACGACTGTATAATAATTCAGCTGTAAGGATTTTTTTTGCACTAAAATTACAATTTTCACATTCATTTTTAGTTGTGATGTTGACAATTCAGATTCACAATCTATTTATTTTACCGCGTTTATTTTTTCCCTTCTGCAGTATTGGAAATTCGCAAAATAATGTAGGTCAGCCTTCTGACGAAGTGGCCACTGAAGAGGGTGCACGCATTGAACACAAATGGCAGGACGATTCACTTAGCTCATTGTCTATAGACTCTGAAGACGATACGAACCTTTTAAGTCAGGTGAGTAATAACCCAACACACTTAAAAATCCTCCAAACTANTTTACCGCGTTTATTTTTTCCCTTCTGCAGTATTGGAAATTCGCAAAATATGCCTGCGAATGTAGGTCAGCCTTCTGACGAAGTGGCCACTGAAGAGGGTGCACGCATGGAACACAAATGGCAGGACGATTCACTTAGCTCATTGTCTATAGACTCTGAAGACGATACGAACCTGTTAAGTCAGGTGAGTAATAACCCAACACACTTAAAAATCCTCCAAACTGACGGAATCTATTTGCTCTTCCTTATTCTCTCCATAGGCTATTGCCGCCGGCTGCAATAGGCCAAAATCGAATCTTGGTTTCAGCAGCACATCGAGAACCAATAACAATAACAAGCGCACATCATTGTCCTCCTCACAGCCAATACCAATAAATGCAGCCACCTCGTCATCGTCTCTCAATTCAAGTGCCACAGCGCGACGCTACCAAAATCAGCAGCAGCATATTTCTGGCGTCGATGATGGCATTACTTCCATTACAACTCATAGATATCAAAATGGTAATGATTCTTACAGCTCAGTGGACTCGAGTGATTCGAATGATAATCAAGCTAAATCATTGTTTGAGCTGTGCATACGCAACGGCATGCATAAGCCAACGCGAGAAAGCGCAAATCACCAACGTCGCCAACATTTGTTGAGCAATCGTCGGGGAACTAGCAACACAACGCAATCAAATCCGAATCTTAAGCAATTTGATTCGCTGCCATTGCAACTGCACACACAACCCAAACCGATGGCTTTGCCGACAAACGTGACCACTGCACTACCAACCGCAACAACAACTGTCAATCGTCATATACGCGAACGGGAACGCAAGGACGAGAAGCTATTGTTGGAATGCATCAACACCGGTATCTCAAAGAAAATTAGTATCAGCAATAGTCACAGCGGCGGTGGAGGTAGTGCGACAGGCGGTCCAAAATATGCGGCTCACAATACCACTCATTCAAAATCTATGCCGATATTTGCAGTTAGCGATAGTAACAATAGTTCTGAAAACGGGCCAAAAAACGTGCTGGCTACGTCTGCGGCTGCACCGGCGCTGTGTCACCAACACGCGGCTATTTTATCCTCAAATGTGCACAGCATAGCAGCTCCAGACGTAGTAAAGACGAACAACATCGGCTACAGCAACACAACCACCACCATCAACAACACCAACAGCAGCAAAAGCAGCAGCATCAACACTTCCAACGACACCAACAACTCTTACAGCAGCGTGAACTGTTGGGAAGCGAAGGACACCAACAGCGTCGACGTCACAGACGTAGCAAAAAGTCCGGCGATGGGCACCACCATCACAGCACACAACGACGCAAATCTTCCAAATCACGTGAACGTAACAGTCGACAAGAAAGTGAACGATACTGGGTATAAAGAAGAGCAGTCGGTTGAACTCGACCAGCTGCCCGCACATGAGGAGATGAATAGTCCGTCTGCCTCGCTGGACAACACCGCAACTAGTGATGATTCGAATGAATCGTTCATTATTGAAACCACTGTCTCGCTAGAGATGCGCCAGTCACGCACATCTCCACCGCTAACAACGTCTCAAAAGCACAAAGATCCCGATTTGATGTTAAAATCTGTGGAAAGGCTGACATTGGAGTTCGTCTCATCAGCTGAGCAATTACGTACTAACTCTACAAACGTTGTTACGGAATGTAGTGCCGTTGAACAACAGCGAATGGCTTCAGGTGCCGCCAGTATTTCTATTGGTGGTACGTCGAACTCCAACAATACATGGAATGAGGATACCTGCCCCAACGACGATGTTTCTTTTCCCAGCGTTAGCGTTACAGCACCGGTTGTTGCGTCATTAAATTATGATGAGGACGATAATGATGATGAAGAGGCTGATGCAACAGAAGCGGATCATAAAGATTTACACGATTTCGCTGAAATAACACCAATAAATGAGGAGCAGCCACAACCATCAATTTTGTTGCTCGAACCTGCCGACACGGGCACACAACCCAGCTCATTAGAAACGGAAACTGAAACGGACACGTTGGTGAATGAAAGCCGCAGCATACATGCATCTTGTCACAATCCAACTGAAGAATCAACCACCAAAAGCGGCATAAATTTTCAATTGGGTGGAGCTGTGCAATCAGCAGCACTCTCCCTGAGTAGTCATCATCATATGCTCTATGGTAGTAACATCAAAGCTGCTGCCGCTGCAGCGCAGGCCGCTGCCGCCGCTGCGGCCATGACAAATTCAACTATTATCGCCATTGAAGCGCGCGCCTTAGCTGAGAATCTGCAGCATGGTGGAAACGTAAGCGCAGATGACGACGACAGCATCGACCTAACTTTCAGTATNCTGGGTAAGTGTAATTATATACTCAGGTGATTAAAATGTTAGATAGTTTCCATCAATTCATAAGACATGACCAACGGAATTTGAATTCACTATATTACGTCAATGTCTGTCATCCCAGAAATGTTTTATCTCGAATAAGTCTAAAGCCCATCTCATCGGATATCGTCATTGTTTTTCATACTTCTGCACTATATACCATCGCGACGAGCTACTTATAAAGTGTGTTTGTTTTACAACGAGGGAGGACTTTACTTCTCAATTACCCACTCAATCCAAAGTAGTACAAGTTGGCTGAAATAATCCAGGGTAACTGGAAAACTTTAAACTTGGAAAATATTTCATACAAATTTCGACCATTTTGAGGTTTCCGGGCCTCCAATATATACAATTTATTTGTTTGTATATAGTATACGTATTGATAATCTATCGATATTGATGTCACTGTTATTCGATATTTATTCATTTTCTTTCATAGTAACGTAAGTTTACAGCTTTTATAGCCTTATCCTTCTTACAATGATTATATCCGCTGAATACTATCGAATCCGACGATAATTTTTAATTAAAAAATGTTTTAATGTTTTTTTTTAGTTTTTAGAGCTAATTTCCTTAAATATCTTTTGAGCGCTCTTAATATTATATGGATTTCAGTTCGAGCAGTCGTCGATGTGCAGATGCCGAACGTTATCGTACCCAAACGATAATTTACACTACAGCAACTACAACAACAACAACCGCAATTACAAGTAATGTGACAGGAGTAAAAGATACCTACGGCAGCGCGGAAGAATCGGCCGGACCGTATTCTCTAACTTCCACCGACGACAGCCCCTCGGAAAATATTTCTTCACTCCGCGCAATAACGCAAAAGTTTAAATTCATAAATATGCCTATTAGCACATCCAACGGCGCGACAGAATCAGAAGCGGCAGAGGTGAGAGGTGCTCCAGATGGTGGTGATTGTACCAGTATTGAATGCGATCAAAATTCCGAAACCGAGTCCTGTCATGACCAACATGAAACATATGGCATCGCTGAAAATTATGATGACCAGAGCGAGGAGTACACTTCTGATGATAGTGAATCGGAGGAGCAGTCGGTGGCTAAGCCGCTGGCACGCGCACGTATTGCCAATCCAATTGAGCTAGCTGCGACCGAAGATGTGCC